TACAATCTAATAGAGATAAATAGAATAAAAAATCTTCGGAGTTACGAGCCTTTTATATTGGGCATGCAAGAATCTCAAGTGTCTTATATACCATTCCTAAGTCTAAACAAATACAAGGAAGACTGGTTGGTTCTATGTCGAGTCAAATCTCGTGGTCGGATTGAAGGAAAAAAACGCGATATATATATTGTGCCCATACATGAAATATACCAAGATGCAATGGTTGACCTTTGTACCATTGATAGGTTTAGGGGGGTTACTACCGAGAATTTGAATTTAGTGTCTCTTGAAAGTGTTGGGGGAATACCATTGGAGGATTCATATCTATATGACACCAATGAAGAGGTTTACCTCGAAACATCTGATTACGAGACTAACTACCTTGAGGAGACCAGCGATAAAGATGATGTTTTATATGAATAGATCAATATGGTGGAGATTTTTATAAATTTATTATATTTAATAAAACTGTAGTTTTTATTATTAGGCATAAATCAATGTAATTAATTGATTTTTTTTTTTGTTCTTTTGAAATGCAGATGTTTCGGGATTAATTAGATGAGTAGATTGACCGACATATATCATATGTTGTCCAAGCTTATGTTAAGGGAAAACAAGAGAGAGAACGAGACCAACAAATAGAATAGAGGGATGAGGTGCACCCGATCAATCATGAAGGTAAGTTGGGAAGAGTTTGTCTTTATTCATATTAATACAAAATAGAGAATTCTCACACTACTTACATGTTATACATGTGCATAATCTTCGATGAATTCATATGAGTCTGTTGCGGCTTTCGGTTAGTATATAAATTCTATTTGTTTATTTTATAATAATTTGACACCAATTGTAGTATAAGCTCCAGCGATAGTACCCACCGCTAATAACCGTATTAAGATTACTGTATAACCAGATGGAAGGTATATATGTCAAAGTCATATGTTTAAATGTAAAAAATGTAATATTCAATTGTTGCAGTGTCATGTGGCCTCGAGAAGCCTCAAAGGAGTTCAGAGGCATCTTTCATTCGTCCATCCATCGTCAGGGCAGTACTTGGATGAAAGTTCTATCAAACATCATAAAATGGTGTGTAGGGGAAATGAAGGTAAAATATTTGATTGAATAATAAATATTACATACATATTTATTTTATTTTTTACTAATTCTTATATAATATTGTTTAAGAATCATATTACGTGGGACTCCACTAAAGAGAAGAAAGTCTAATATTTATACCAAGAAGGCTCAAAATGCATACAACCAGTGGTGGCATGGCATCTGACATGGGCACGCCAAAAAAGGCTGATGAAGTTCTTGACATGGAGGTCTTGGCTGAATGGAGAAGAGTTTTATTTTAGAGCTTTGATGATGCCAAAAAGAAGTAAGAGATTGCAAAGAAAAATATATGACGGGGTCATCCGGATATTACACCTGAAGCTATGCATACAAGATGGTCTCGATCATTTTATGAGACGGAGGAGAAGATGGTATATAATTCCATAAGATTAAAATAAATATTGATTTGTCAATTGTCATTTTATATTCTTAGTTCTAATTAGGGGATTGGATAAGACAAAAATTTATGTTCGGGCTCATACAAAGCAACACAATTGGATTGACTATGTTAATCCAAAAGCATCTAAGATTGTTGTGTATTATCCATAAACTAAATATAACACAATAAAACAAATATAATACATTTTATTTTCAATTAATGTTCATTACATTAGTTGTTGATCATGAGGATTTAGATGCCATTGTGAAGGTCCTGACACAACAAGGCACTAACAGGGTCGATAGGGACTGAGTGATTCTAAAGTTGGTCGAACGGGATAAAAAAAATTGGATATTCGAGCTCAGGTCTTTAGCTAGTACGGTGCCCACTAATCGATCATCTTTTATGAGCGACGCTCATTCATCGGCCACTGTAGACATTGATCAGCGCATCCAACAAATGGAAACTAAATCCAATGATCGACTTTAGCATATTGATGATTGTGTTCATCATGTATACGATCGGGTGGAGAGTATTGAAAAAATCCACCAAACTATCATCAATCAAAACCTCAGCATTATGGAGAAACTCCATAGGTTACGACCAGAATTTAAGCACCATGGCCCCGACGGTGATGCATGTGCTCCTATCGCATGATGTATGTATTTGGTATATTGATATTGATATTTAATTTTGGTTCACATATTAATTACCGTTATAAATTTTTATTGAAACAATCATTGATTACGTTGTTTAATTCTAAATTCAGATGTTCCTTCTATCACATTATGTATGTATTTGATATATTGATCCTTGTATTTTATTTTGGCACACATATTAATTATTATTAAGATTTTTTATTTTTTATTTTATGGAAACAATAATTGATTATATTTTATTTATTCTTAATGCAGGTGCTCCTCCTTCACATGATGTATGTACTTTTTATATTGATACTTATATTTTATTTTGACACATATATTAATTACAATTATAATTTTTTTTTTTTTAAACAATCATTCATTACATTGTTTGATTTTTGATGCAGTTCCTCCTCCTATCGCATGATGTATGCATTTAGTATATTAATGTTTATATTTTATTTTGGCATCCATATAAATATTATTATAAACTTATTTATTGAAACAATCATTAATTACGTTTGTTTGATTTGTTATGCTGGTGTATTCCGTACATTGATATTCATTTTTGTCTTGGAACAAAGATTAAATATTATTGCATTTTGATTATTGAAATAATAGTTGATTACGTTCTTTGATTCTTGATGCAGACGTTACTCTTATCCATTGTGGATGCATTAAGTATATTGATGCTTATATTTTATTTTGGGACATATATATATTAAATATTATTTTATCGAAGTAATCATTGATTACATTATTTGATTTTTCTACATACGGAACATGATTTACTACTTGATTGTTATTAGTTTAGTTTCTAGAATTAAATATAATTTGTTTAAAATTGATTGACATTGCTTGAATATAAATTCTTTTGAAATTTGTTGAAATAGATTAAATATAATTTGTTCGGAATCAACTGAATTTTTTTATTATTATAATTTATTTTGAATTGGTTGATATTGGTTAAATATAATTTATTAGATTAAATTGATATTAGTTTAATGTGATTTGTTTGGAATCGGTTGAAATTTCTTGAAGTCATGAGAATCAGTTATTTACTATATCTTGATGAGGTGAGAATTTTGATTTGTTTTATTCTTCTTAGATGACAAACTATCTTTCTCCAGGTGTTCTGGTTTTCCACAGTAAGGATATTTATCCATCTATTTGAACTGTCTAACACACTTCTTGAAAAGCTTTCCAACCAAGTTAGCCTTGAATTTTTTTATTTTTATTTTTAGGGATCTTGTGCTCTTTTTTGTTGTTATTGACAGAAATTTAAACAAACAAATCATCAAGCTCTACGTGCTTCAATCCGAGCTTGAACTTACCCCAATTATGTAGTAACTTTTTGATCATCACACCCGTAATGAATGATTCAGGTAGCACATTGTGTTCGTCCAAGACTTAGTAGACAAAATGATAAAATTCTTGCACATGTTCAATGATCGAACAACCCTTTACCACACCATTGTTTACAAGCCGGTAAAAATAAATATTTTAGACTCGACATACTAGGACTTCAACTTATTTCTTAAGGTCACAACACAGCCCTTTAATTTAGTAATACAAATTATAAGGTATAATGAAATTATTACCAAAATTATCTCGAAGGCCATATGCCATGAGCTCATGATAGTCATCACGAGCATAAGTTTGGCTCACTCCATCGAAAATAGTGGAGATCATAGTGAGATTCCCGAGAGTATCAAAAGTGTTGATAATTTGATTGTGTGCTATCTTGCACTACAATATTAAATAAAGAAAACTTAATTTGTTTTACGATTTTTTTAAAAAAATAAGAAAATTGCTATGCGAGATAATAAATTAAATAATAATAATAAATAATATAATAAAATAATCAGCAATCAGGTAGAAGTGATTCAAATTGGAAATAAAAATGAGTTAAAACTGCCCGCAAGATAAATTACGTACATCCCAGTGTAGTATCTCCGGTAATGACGTTTAGTCTCCAAAGGTAAAATGACTCTTTGCTTTGGTTTAAGTGGCAACACAATAAGTCGAAGTTCTGACAAACAAAAACAACGATGGAACTAAGCTTTCCGGAATGCTTGCCGGACACTTGATTAGAGAGGAAGAGAATACAATGAGAGAGCTCGATGCATGTTGGTTGGTTTGAGAATGAAGAAAAAGATCCTTTATATAGATGTCTTTACTCGATCAAATCTTTCATTTGAGATAGTCATAAATAATTAGTGCGTCTAGCATATTAATTTTTTTTAGAAATACGATTGATTTGTTTTAAATAAAACAACACACGCAAAATTTTTGCATAATTTAATATTTATATAATTACTATAATATAAATAATTATATTTTAATCGTTAATTCAAATATCAGATATTAATAATTTTTTTTTTTAATTTATAGTCTAAATTTAATTAGTATCATATTGATTCATAAAGCCAACAACCTATATAAATCGTTTTTTTATGTAAACAAAGTTCATAGTTGAAATAATATATTATTGAAATATGAAAAAAATTGAACAAATATCATACAAAAATTCTTAATAAGAAAATGTGTAAACTTACATAGATAATTTTTGGTATAAAAAAACTATAGAAATAAATTTACAATTTTACCATAAACATCAATACCATATGTCCAGCTATCTCTAATAGAGAAAATAAAGTAAATGAAATAAGAAAACAAAAAAAAAGGTTTAATCCGGCATTAATGGAGGGGTAATGTACAGAAGAGCAAGTATATAATAAACCAAAAAATTTACAGGCCCACAGCCCACAACTTGCTAATTCCGTCCACGCGGGTGCCGTGGCGCGTGCGGCCCACTCTTTCATACTCGTTAAACAAACATCATGGGAATTGTCAAACTCGCCGGCTTCGCTTGCAAATTGCTGTTTGTTTTTCTTAAATCTTAGGTTCAATGGCGATACCTATTTTGTAACGTTCAAATTCAGACTCCATCCACAGAAAATACCATACCATATTGCAATATACAAAAACCAATCCTCTTCCCTATCCTCTCCCGCCGCCGTCGCAGTCGCAGTCGCCGTCGCCGCCGTCGCCTGAAAATAAAACAAACCCTTATTCCTCCTTATTTTTTTATATTTATAGATTCTCTCCAATCTCCATTTACTTCACATCGCCACTCTCCCTCTGATTGGATCAGTTTGTGCTCTGTGCCCTAGACTTAGATCTCTCTCTCTTACATACGCATACTATAATTAGCCACAACTACCTGCGCGGGGACGTGCGTACGGATCCCTCTCGGCATCGGCGCTCAGTCCTCCGATCTCCTTCCGCCGCCCGATCGACCAGGTAATGCCCTTCCTCCGGCGGCGGCGCGTGTGCGTAATGTGTAGTAGATTTAGAATTGTCTGTCTGTCTGTCTGTCTGTGTGTACGATGTGTGTTTCCCGTTGGTTCGGAGAAACCTGGATTTAATTCTCGGGTACCCTCCGTTTGACTTTCGATACCTTCGGGGGTTCTTTTGACTTTAGCTATTTGGCAATGAATTGCTGCGGGCGGGGCTGTGGAGTTTTGAATCTGCTGATGGTTTTTGCACTTCGTGTTACTACAGCTGCTTAAATTATTCGATTCTTTGGTCCCAATTTGAATTTTTTTTGGTGTTCGAGGTGGGGATCTGAGGTTTGGAGACTCTTTTCGAAAAGTCTTTTTTTTATGTTTTATTTTTTTCCCCTTTCCTTAGCCTTTGCTAATCGTCGAATGAAATTCGGTTCGTTATGTAAAAAGTCTGATCTGTTTTTTGATTTTCGATTTTAACTGTGAAATTTCGACTGGGATGTCTGAATTTAGCTTTTGTGATCTAAATGCACTTTACAATGGTTCTAGGTTTTAAGAATATAAATTATCAAGTCTTTAGTTTTCATTTAGAAAATAATGTGTGTTCTTCTGACATAGAAGTCGATATGTTCTTGGATCCCGACATTTGATTCATCGACTCAATTTGATTTATACATCATAGGTTCCTTACAGCATTTGCTTCTTTATGTCACATTTATGCAATTTTTACAGTTGATCAATATTGGCCTGTTTTTCCGCTGTTTGTATTTGAGAATTTTGCATATTTCTTAATTATGGTGTTCTTACAGGATCGTCGGCGAGCTGATTAAATCGAGCGGTGGGAGAAGACAGAACATTTTCGTTAGTTTTCCTGTAATGAGGTTCTAGATGAAATCAGCTCAAGCCTGGCGTCTTGGCATGAAAGTCGCCCCGATATTCCCGATGCCTCGACAGCGTGCTCAATTGAAGAAGCCGACGTGGATTATTACACTAATTTCATTAGTCTCCTTGTTTTTAGTTTGTGCTTACATTTATCCTCCTCACAATTCGGGGGCATGTTACGTATTCTCAACCCACGGTTGCAAGGCCTTACATGATTGGCTTCCTCCAACACCTCTTAGAGAATTAACTGATGCTGAGGTTGCCTCTCGCGTCGTACTAACTGATATTCTTAAAATGAAACCGGCGCTATCAACGACTCCCAAGATCGCCTTCCTGTTTTTGACACCTGGTCCATTACCGTTCGAGAAGCTTTGGGATCTGTTTTTTCAGGTACTTGCTTTCTTTAATGTTGAAATAAAAGTGCTAAATGTTTGTTACAATCTCGTTGATGGGAAAATCCGTTTTTGTTTAACTGAATGCAACATAATCCGATCCCATGTTATTTGTAGTTTAGTATTTATGTATAAGAGGTTAAATTTTATTCGCGCCTTCGGAAATTGAATTCCTTTAGCTTTTATGATTAGACGACAGTTATATATATTTCTGGTGGAATGAGATTGGGAAAAGCAGCCATTTGTCGTTATAATATGAAGTCTGTAATGCTTTTTTGTCGGTTTATTTGTTTTATTCTTGACTTTCCATTTAGTACGATCTGTTTCTCATATTTTTCTTTATAACAGGGCCATGAAGGTAAATTTTCTGTGTACGTGCACGCGTCCAAGAATAAACCAATTCATTTTAGTCGTTATTTTTTCAACCGGGAGATCCGTAGCAACGCGGTGTGTATATACTTTCGTTTTTTTTTTTCGTATATTCTTCTTCATATTACTATCATGTTACACATCATGCTTTAATAAATAAACTTCCTAAGCTCTCTAATCTCGTTTGTTTCTTTTCGATCTGAATTGAGTTTTGAGGTTTGAGATTTTATTTGAATAATATTTTATGTGATGTTTTGTACTGAGAAAAAAGTATATTACATAATATATTTTTTTGAAAACGTGAAGTTCAAATAGTAAAAATATAATAAAAACTCAAAAGAAACACATCCATACAAAGTGTCGTTTTTTTTCCTTTAAAAATTCTCATATGGAAAATATATTTATGAGGAATGCCTGTCTTTGTACCGGCGCAATTTTTCTTTGAATGAAGGGAGGTTAATTGCATATTTTATTACATAGATGGAAGTTATGTGCACGCTTGTTTATCACTGTTTTTTTTTTAATGAAAATCGTGATTTTCTTAAGGGATTCTTTTCTTTGTTTCATTTTAATTCTTCCTGGAAATCCATCCTGTAATAGTATTGTGTGAACCAGTGTAGAAATCCCATCCCTGTGGGATTAAAACATAAACTAAATCTCTAACATTTTGAGAATCTGGACTTCAGGTAGATTGGGGGAAAATTTCAATGGTCGACGCAGAAAGACGCCTTTTAGCAAATGCACTTAACGATCCAGACAATCAGCACTTTGTGTTACTATCTGACAGGTTTATATACATCAGATTTGCTTTAGTTTTTCCACTTTCGTTGATTGTCGAACTGAAGGCATTCGGAGAGTAACCGTGCTTTTCTGGGTACTGCAGCTGCATACCACTTCAGCAGTTCGATTATGTATATGACTATCTTCTGAATACAAATGTCAGCTTCGTAGATTGGTAAGTTCATTGTTTTTTAGGTTTTCGATTATCATGTTATTTCTCCATTTACATTGCCATGATAGCCTCTGCCAAGTGTTTTTTAGCAGTTAGCCTTTACATATTAAAATGCTGAACTTGCTAGATAAAATGAACCCTGACAAATTAAATGTGTACGGTACAATAAATGTTTCAAATATTGATATAAATGTACGTGAAGGTTTCTTGAGATCTGTAGTCTATATACAAAACACATTTATATTTAAATCGTCTTTCCCTAATTCACGGGATTTTAAGGAATAATTGTGATATTCATTTTAGATAAGATACAAAAATGACTCACGACGTGAACCTCAGGCACTAAAATGTTATTTGTTATCTATATACCAAAGTTAAGCGTTGGTCTTGTTTTCTGCAGCTTTGAGGATCCCGGCCCACATGGAAGTGGCAGGTATATTGATTATATGTTACCTGAAGTTGAGAAGAAAGATTTTCGAAAGGGGTCACAGGTGTAGTTTCATATTTCGATGCCGTACATTTAATTGCATACTTTTTTGTATTTTTTTTTTCATTTTAAAGATTCTTCTTACAAATCCTCAACAAACATCAATGATTTATTCCTTTCAAAGTTTGCAATGTCCTACTTGATCAATGCGGCATTTTCTAGCTGTTCGCTAATTGTAATTTCTTCATGTTGGCTATGAGGAAGTTTGGAATAGTTAAATTATAATCGACTGCTCTCATTCAATTTTATGTAATTCAGAATTTTTCATGTTATAAAATGCTGTTGTTCGTTGCAGTGGTTCACAATGAAGCGGCAACATGCCATTATAATCGCAGCAGACAATCTCTACTATACTAAATTCAAGGATCATTGCCGGGTAATCATTGTTTGATTCATAATTACCGTATGGAAATTTTGTTCTATTATCTCTTGCAATTTTCTTTTTTGTTTGATTTTTTCCAACATAAAATTTATCATATTCACCGAATAAAAAAAAAAATTAAATAAGAACCAGAACCAACAAGTTCTAGTCCTATGTTGTAATCAGATGCTCACTATTCTCATTGTAGATTGAAAATGCTTGTAAATTAGCCAATCATTTATTTCCCTATCTCAGTCATGGTAAATGGTGTTCACATTTGAAATACGTTGTGTCATTTTATTCTGTATATGAAACTATTTAGTGGCAGTTTTCCATGTCTGAAACTTTCGAACCGCTGATTTACTGCTTTATCATTACGATTGAACAGCCGGGCATGGAGGGTGGGCGCAACTGCTACGCCGATGAACACTACTTGCCGACATTTTTCTATGTGAGAATTGTTGGATTTCTGCATATCTACTGTTAGAATTGCTGTATGTCTGAAGTTGTTTTTTGTGACCTCGTCTTATTCAGATGCTCGATCCAAATGGAATAGCGAATTGGTCAGTGACGCACGTCGATTGGTCCGAAATGAAGTGGCATCCAAAGTCGTATCGAGCACAAGACATCACCTTAGAATTGATGAAAAATATCACAGTACAACAATTCTTACCCTTCCTATATAATTTTGTCTCCTTGCACGAATTTTTTTCTTACAGCTTTATGTCGGGTAATAACCATGGCTGACTCTCAGTCCCGTTTTTAATTGCAGTCTATTACAGAAAGCGTACATGTTACTAGCGACGAAAAGGTAACTAAACTAGAGCTATGTTGTCCTCATCAAAATTTTATGTTCTTCGCCATATCTGATGAAAATATCGTTTTTTGAGCTGCAGAAAGAGGTTCAGACCAGGAGATGCTTGTGGAATGGAGATCAGCGGCCGTGTTATCTGTTTGGGAGGAAATTTTTGCCGGAAACTCTCGATAATTTAATCCAACTTTTCCCAAACTACACATCAACTGCAGCAGCAGTTAGCTGATCCCATAAGACCAGAGCATCGATTCTTTTCTCATATTCAAGCATTGAGTTGAATTCGATCGATGGTTTCTCTCCCTGTTGTAAAAATCATCTTAAAGTATATAGGATCGACGAGGCGGGGCGGGGCGAGCGCAGAAGGTGACAATGAAGAAATTAAAATTGCTGTTGAGGCACACTTATTGCATGATTCTGTGTTAAGTTCTAACACTCTTTCTTTCTGTCTTTCTGGCTGTCCTTTTGTAGAAGTTGCAAATATGTTCATGGCAGTTGCTGTTTTTCGTTTTTCTTTTTCTTTTTTGGTTAAAAAGAAATTATTTTTGGGAATTGTTTGATTAAATTTTGTTGAGGCATTTTGGTGTCATTGAATTAGTGAATATTCCTCAAAATGAGGGGACAGTGCTGAATTGGTAACAATGAAATTGTGAAGCTTGTTTCGCCGTACGGATTGGCTGATTTATGTTATTTATTTATATAATGTGAGAATCCGCTGGGGTGGCAGTTGGATCTGGAGGTAATGTTATATTGCTTGCTGTAAATGATTTTCATTTTTTTTCTTTTATTTAGACAAAACTGTACAAAATGAAGAAATTATACCAAATCTTCGCACTTTTAATGTGCATTAGATTTTCTCATAGTTTTGGATAAATTATATAGCGTGAAAATCAAAATTACACCAGTAAAATAATTTAAATGATTTTTTTGAATAAAATAAATAAATAAATCAATTATTTTTATAGTTTTTTTTTTTTAAAAAAAAAGATGATTGATTTGTCTCCAAATAACTATAAAATGAAGGATTAATCAATTATTTTTTATTTATTTTATTCAAAAAAATATTTAAGATATTTTATATTTTTTATTGGTATAAAACAGGTCTTTATTTAGACCTAAACACCAATTTTGGACAATGGGGTATTTCGTGTCAACTTTAAGGAGTTTTATGCAATAAGTAAAATACATGGTATTTTGTGAATTTTTAATAAAATACAAGGGACATCTTAAATACCGAATGAGTTTCAAAATCTTTATTTTCAAACTCTTAAAATTACAAATGTATTCAGTAGCTTGTAAAATAATTATGAGAATTAGAAGAAAATAACTATTTTGAGTATATTTACTGGTTTACTTAAGACTAAATATAAAAAAGAATGAGTATATTTCTAATTTTGAAAGAGTTTAGACATGGAAATTTTAAGAGTTTAGACTAAATTTTGAAATTTTAAAAGACATAATTGATTAAACCATAAGGAAGTCTCATGCAGTTTTGAAATTTATGGTATTTGGCGCAATTTTGTAAAATTAAAATTGAATTTTGTGCAATTTTGTCTTTTATTTATAACGTGGAAAATTGCATCCACTACTTTTTGAGTGCGCTTTTGGTAAACCCTCGGTCGAACTTAATAGTCTACAAACTAAACCCAACAATACAAGTCACATTAGGCAAACTATGTGTGACAGACAAGATCTGGGGCGTTGTAGATTTGACCTCGTGATATCACAGTCATATGTTCATTCTTACACCACCAAGACATCCTTTACGAGACTGATTCTCAGTGTCTTTTTGAGAGAGTTGGATCAACTAGGTGCTTTTTGTAAAGTTGAAAGTAAGGATGGAAAATTTTACCGAAAATACTGAAATACATGTACCGTACCAAAAACTTCAGTATGGTATTATTATTGATTTTCGAAAAATTCGTTATTTCGGTATTATACTGTACCGATATTTTTTATTAAATAATTATATTTTAATAAAAGAATTACTAAAAAAACAAATTATTCCAAAATCCTAAGTTCCTACCCCTAAGTCGTATTTCCTATTCCACATCCACACAAACACAATCCATTTCCGCCACACAGACTTAGGCAGAGCTGATCGACGCCTTGATGTTTATACTGAGTGGAAGTGCTTTTGTTTTTGAATAATTTGGTATACATAAGTGGGAAGCTTACTTTTGAACGATTTTAGCTATTGTTTTTTTTTTTTTATGTTATTTCAAAGAACTGATGCAGATATAATGTGAAGCTGAATAATAAATACATGATTTGTACGTATTTTTGTTTTTTGTAAGAGCTTTTATGATCAGTGATTCAGTGTTAGTGTTTCCTTTGAAAGATTACAAACTTCTTTGTGCTAAAGACATTCATTCGATGCTATTTCGACTTGACACTGTGTGATTATTATATTTCTATTCAATACAAGCTTTTCAAAACTCATTTTCTCAAAGATGTTTATAATTACAGGAATTTATTATAGGCATCTCATCTTTAGTGTTATATGTACTACTTTTAATTATTTTTTAGTTGTATTATTCATTTTTTTTTTTAAATGGAGAATGCTTTAGGTTCTTTGCCAACTCAAACTAGTGAGATATCAGATGAATACTCAAGCCGTAAGCGTTCAAGTGAAGACTTAACAAAGCCTCATGTGGCTCTTAAACAAAGCAGTCAATATTGGTTGCATTGTGAAAAAAGAGTTCGAACATTAAAGAATGGAAGCAAGCAATCAATCGGAACATGCAAGTATTGTAAAGTTGAGATTTTCGTTACTTATGGAAGTACAAATGGGTTGAAAAATTAAATGGTGAAAAATTGTAAGTTAAGTCCATTATACGAGAGAATTGAAAGGAAGAAAAAAATGTGTTTTGACAAATGAGTCTTTAGGGATGTGGCAAGGAAGTTTATTAGTATCACATTCTTCCAACCTAAAATTATGTGCATTGAACCCTTTTTTTGCCCCTTATATCCAATAGTATATTTTTCTTTATTCCTGATTTTTTTTTTGCAAATAGTGACATTTGTTTTTGTTGTTGCAGAAAATGTGTGCATTGAAGTTTGTTGAGTATATGATTAGTGATGAAATATCATTTTGAGTAGTAGAGGGGAAGGGATATATAAATTTTGTGCATGAGCTACAACCAAAATTCAGGCTCCCGACCGACGAAAGGTTGCGGATAAGGTTTATGATTAATTCCTAGGAGAGAAATCAAAATTGAAACTTGCAATCATTGGTCAAAGAGTGAGCATTACAACTGATACATCTATTCAATAAATTAACTATATGGTGATCACAACTCATTTTATAGATAGATAATGCGAATTGCATAAGATAATTATCACCTTTACAAAAATTACTTGTCAGTCTAGAAAAAAATTGAGAAAATGGTTGAAGTCTGTTTGAGAGAGTGGGGGATAGAGAAATTTTTTTCAATATTAGTTAATAATGCTTCTTCCAGTGACACTGCTATTGATTTTTTGAAAATGTGATTGAAGATGGAAAATATATTGATGTTTGAAGGGAAGTATTTGCAATTAAGGATAGTTTGAAAGAGCTTGATGCATAGATTAAATCTATCATAAATGCAGTTAATTTCATTCATTCTTCTCATTCAAATTGAATAAGTTTAGAAAATTTGCAATTTTAGCTAAATTTTCTAGCACATCAACATTTCCTATGGATGTGAAAACTAGGTGGAATGCCACTTATAAAATGTTTGATGTTGCATTGAAGTATCGGGAGGTGTTTGATAGGATGACAGATGAAAAGGTGCCTAACGGTCCCAAAAGATGTATTTCTACACCTTAAATTCCAATTCTAATTACTCTTGAACGATGCAGCGGAATGAAATGCAAACTCAAAAGGTTTGGTGAGTTCAGAGTGATGTCGTCTGCTCGAAATTCGAACAATAAACATGCAACGAGAAGTGCAGTGCATAGTGCATCAAAACAAGCAACACACAAGCATTTATTGACCCAGTTCGGCCTTCAACCGGCCTATGTCTGGAGGGTATGAACCCAGGGATGTTCCACTATGAGAAAGGCAAAAGCAAGATACAAAGATTCCTCACACAAACTCTACAAAACTCCAACAACACACACAAACTAATGTATGGGTTTCCTACCATATTCATATGCATCTTCCTTCGCAAAGGCAAGCATGCATGGACTCAGCCTCCATTGAATGTGTTCTGAGGCGGGATGAAAGTGTAGGTGGTTTGTCATATTTTTCTCCTTCAGTTCTCCTTGGAATTCCCTTTTTCAAAACAGACTCTTCGACAGTTTGTCGATACAGCAGACAATAGAAATATGCTCAGGATATCATTTTGGCTTCAAGTTTACAGCAGCTTCGACAAGGTTCAGACCAAGCAGAATAAATAAAAAATCCTCCCTGATTTTTCTACTCAAGACATGGTCTATCCTTTCAAGAAAGTCCCTTGAAAGAAATGAGAACACTCCCCCTCAATTTGAAGTGAAACTCAATCTATTATAACATGAGATTTCAGCTTTTCACAAGGTAAGATAAACTCTCAAGGTTCTCTGTTCTCACCTCACACAATGGTCACAAAAATGCTCTGATTTTCTCTCAAGTAAGTGATGAAAAACTTGAATAAAATGTTCCTAGGAAGCATGTATAAATAGTATAAACAAGACTCCCTTTGGCCAATCAAATACTGACACAACAAGCTTAGAAAATGTCAAAAAATATTTGGACATGTCCTTAAGAGATATATTAGGGCAGGGGACAAAATGACATGTCTAATTCTTCATTAATGACCTAGGAAGAGATGAAAGTCAAGAGTACCTCTTTGGGAATGGAGGTGAGGTTTGACTTTCATTTGCATGCAACTTTTGGGGAATAATCTCATTTTGTCTTTTGTTGTAGTGTTTCATACAAATTTTGTCTCATCTTGATCCTCTTCTTATGTTTACAACGTCCAACACATCAGGCCTTGAAGAAAGATCCTGAGCCATGTTGCAGTCCTGCAAGCAGGTGCAGACTTGCAGGCAGCTGACCCGTCGTCCGATCTGTCTGTGGATTCATGATACAAACAAAAGAAAATCTTATACCAACAGTGTCTTTTATGAATTACTTTTCTAAAAAGGAAAAAAATGTAAAGAAAGAGTGGGCCCACCGAGTGAACAAGATTGAGAGAATGCGAAAGCATTTAATTTTTTTTAAAAAAAGTTTTATGATGCCACTTTAGCATTAAGTGTATAAAAAAATTTGACTTCTTAATTGATTTATCAACCATTGGTTGCATTACAAATTGAAATTGACAAAAAGTGTAATGATTTTTCAGGTCTGACACTTAGAAAGGTTGCAAATCCAATGAAAGTGAAATTTGATAAGTATTGGGGGAGTTGGGATAACATAAATCCATTGATCTTTATTGTCAATGTTTTGGACCCGAGAAAAAAGTTTTAGGTGGTCAAAGAGAGCATCAAAATATTGAAAGGAACTTCTCAAAAGATTCAAGAAGTTGTTGATACGGATATAAATAATTTGATAATTTTTTGGACATAATATAAGGGAATGAATGAACTTTCAACTGCGAGAAGACATAATATGGAGATAGAGTGCAATAGTGAAGATGGTTTTACTAGTGGTGGGGGTGGTATTTGTGATGAATTGTTTGAATATGTGAATGCGGAAAATGAAAAAGATCATTTTGAAGAGATATCTAATGAAGTGGATAAATATCTAGTAGATAATATTGAGAAACGATCCAATCTATATTTTGATCTATTGGAGTGGTGGAAGAGAAATAAAGCCAAGTACCTTATTCTTTCAATCCTTGCCAAAGATATTTTTGCAATTCCAAATTCAAATGTGGTTAGTGAATCAGCTTTTAGTTTGGGAAAACGAGTTGTGGATCATTTTAGAAGTAATTTAAGCTCTAAAGTGGTAGAAACATTAGTGCACTAGTGATTGGTTGAAAGCCAATGAGATGAGTTTCTATAAGGATCCAACTAATGATAATTTAAAATTTTATAAAAAAATCGAAGAAATCGAAATATGTAAGAGATATTATTATGATCCAACTGACCCAATACTTATCAAATTTGACCTTCATTGTCAATTTCAATTTGTAGTGCACTTAATTCTAAAATCGCATCATAAAAATTTTTCAAAAAATTTTTAAATGCTTTCGCATTATCTCAATATTGTTCACTTGGTGGGCCCACTCTTTCTTTACCCTTTTCCTTCTTTTTAGAAATATTATTTATAAAAGACACCTATTCTTCTGTCATCCTATCAAAAAACCTCTCGATACTTTAATGCAACATCAAATATTTTATAAGTGACATTCCACCTAGTTTTCAGATACATAGAAAATGTTATGTACTAGAAAAACTTAGCTAAAATTGCAAATTTTCTAAACTTATTCAATTTTGAAGGAGAAGAATGAATAAACTTAATTGCATTAAGATGGATTTAATCAATGTATAAGCTCTTTCAAATCTCTTTAACAATTATGTTTAGAATATGACATAAACACCTCAAATGCAAATATTTTCCTTAAAAAATCAACAAATTTTCCATCTTCAATCTCATTTTCAAATAATCAATAGCAGTGTTATTGGAAGAAGCATTATCAACTACTATTGAAAATTTTTCTCTATCCCCATTCTTTCAAACAAACTTCAACTATTTTTCAAATTTTTTTTTTCAAAATGACAAGTAATTTTTGTAAAACTTATAATTCTCTTATGTATTTTTCATTCAATATCTATAAAATGAGTTAATATTTTGAATGAATATCTAGGTATCAGTTGTAATGCTCACTCTTAGACCATTAATTGTAAATTTTAGTTTAGCTTTCTCCCCTATGAATAGATTATAAATCATACCCGCAACCTTTCGTCGGTCAGGGAGCCTGAATCTTAGTTGTAACTCATGCACGAAATTTATGAATCCCTTCCCCCCCCCCCCCCAACTGCTCGAAAGGATACTTCATCACTTCACATACTCAACAAGTTTCAATGCAAATATTTTTTACAACAATAAAAAAGAATGTCACTATTTGCAATAAAAAAATTCAATAATAAAGAAAATTATCCTATTGGAAATAAGGGGACAAAAAAAAAAAAAAAAAAGGGTTCAATACGCACCGTTTTTATTGATTGAAAGAATGTGATACTAATGAAATTCCTTGCCCCATCCCTAAATACTTATTCGTCAAAACACATTATTTTTCTTCATTTTCAATTTCCTTATACAATGGACTTAACTTACATATTTTCACCAAATAAATTTTCAACCCACTTGTACTTCCATAAGTAACGAGCATCTCAACTCTACAATACTTGTATGTTCCGATTGATTGCTTGCTTCCATTCTTTAATATTCGAACTCTTTTTTCACAATGCGACCAATATTGACTCCTTTGTTTAGTAGCCACAAGGGGCTTTGTTAAGTCTTCACATGAATGCTTACGGCTTGAGTATTCATCCGATATCTTACTAGTTTGAGTTGGCAAAGAACCTGAAGATTCACTCTCCAGTCGGAAAAAAAAAAAACAAAAAAAAAAAAAAACAAAAAGAAAATTAATAAATAATACAACTAAAACGTAATTAAAAGTAGCACATGTACAGTTGAAAATGAGATGTCTATAATAAGTTGCTGTAATTATACACACCTTTGAGAAAATGTATTTTGAAAAGCTTGTATTGAATAAAAAGACAATAATCACACAGTGTCAAGTTGAAATAACGTCGAATGAATGTCTTTAGCACAAAGAAGTTTGTATTCTTTCAAATAGGGGTGGACCCGGTTCGGATATTTGCAAATATGCAGGTATTTGATATCCGAACCGAACCGAACAAATACCCGAAACCGTGAACCGTATCCGAACCGAAAATATTTGCAATATTTGCATATAATTCGAACCGAAATTAAAAAATAAATATATTAAAAAATAATTTAAATTCTAATTAAATCAAAATAATTACAAATATTTCAAATATCATAACCGAAATCAAATTGTAACCGAACCGAACCCGAACCGAATATTATTATTAATATAAATTTTAAAATATAATAATATAAATATATAAATAAATTTGGTTCAGTTAACCGAACCGAAAAAAAATATCAAAAACCGAAACTGAACCGAATCGAATAAATATCATATATGAAGTATTTGAATTCGAACCGAATTTACTCGGTTAACCAAAAATTCGATTCGGTTCAGTTCGATTCAGCGGTTCGACAGTTCGGTTCGATTTTTTTGTCCACCCCTACTTTCAAAGGAAACATTAACACTAAATCACTATCATAAAAACTCTTACGAAAAATAAAAATACTTCCAAATCATATATTTACAATTCAACGTCAAACTATGCATGCATCAATTCTTTGGAATAACACCAAAATAGCTAAAATCGTTCAAAGGCAAGCTTCCCACTTCTGTACACCAAATTATTCAAAATCAATAGCACTTCCACCCATTATAAATATCAAGGCGTCGATCGGCTCTGCCTAAGGCTGTGCGGCGGAAATTGATTGTGTTTGTGTGGATGTGGAATACCAAATACGATTTAGGGTTAGGAACTTCAGATTTTCTCACAATAAAGATACAATCTATGTCCGAGATGATTTATTTTAATTAAAAATTTGTTGTGATTTTTAATATGTCCTATGAAAGATAATTCTTTTTAAATTTAGTAAATTTATTCATTTTAAATATATTTAATAAATAAATAAATATTTTTATTTATATTTTAAAATTCATATTTCTTTTTATAAAATTAGTTTAAGTTAATTATAAATCAATAAATACATTTTATTTATTTATTTATAATATATTTATTAAAATATAATATAAAACATAATTAAACAAATTTATTTTAATCATATATATTAATTTATATTTTTAAATATCAAACAATAACTTATAAGTTAAACAACTTAAATAATTATAATGGAACAAATGCCACACGTAGTATTATATTCTCTTCCATCCCTTGGTATGAACATACACATTATAAAGTAGAGGGATAAAAGAGAGACGTTACATACAATTTATGATAACACACACTAAAAGGTTTATTTAATTGTTATTTAAAATTAATTTAAAATAGAGTATTTATTACTCCCTCCGTCCCCTTGTCTACTGATATACACTGGATGTAATTAGTAGATAATTAAGAATGAATTAGTAAAAATAATTATCTTATAATATAAATAATTATAAATTAAGATTAAAATAACTTATTAGTTTAATTCAAATTAAAAAATAAAATAAAAATTTTAAAATGAAATTAAAATGTATAATTATTTTAAAACAAAAAAAAGTGACATGTTACGTCGGACTGATAGAAACCGCAACGTGATATGGTACGTAGGACTGAGGGGGAGTAATATTTTGATGGGATTGATTTATGAGAAAAAATAATACATTTTTATTATCAAAATAAATAATTTAAATTTAAATTTAAAAAATAAAAGAAACTCACCTCAATTTTCTAAGATTTGTTGTGAAATAAATAATAATAAAAAATATTTATTACCAATAGAATGTAAAGATAATATATATTTTTATTATTTTTATAACTTTTTTTTTTAACAATTCTCTATAATTTGCGTAATTTTGTTTTTAAACTGTTTCACTAAACAAATACAAATGATTTTAATAGTGTTATACTTACATAATAGTCATGTGTGTTTATTATAATAATTTTTTGAAACGTTGCTTCATTTAATCATTGCTAGAATTTTCTTCACGCTCCGATCGAACCCTAACGTCTGATCAGTAGCTCTCACCTCTCGCTTTCGTGAAGATTTTCTCTCGGATCTCTGTGTATGGCGTTTGCTTGCTTCAATTTATTTAATTTGATTTACTCGTTTTCTTTGCCATTGTTTGGCTTTCTGATGTTGGTTTTGAAAGCGATAGGAGATCAGAGCAGAGGCGCCATGTTGGGTGTTGTAAGACGGAAAGTTTCGTCAGCTTCGGTAATATCTTCACGTTAATTCTCTGACATTCTTACGGACTTACTGAGGCGGATGTGTGGGTGGGGATGCGTATTTTGGATGTATGGTTGCATTGCATGCATTGTGAAGAAGCACTATGTGTATTAGATACTTATTCATGGCTTTTTGGATTAGGCGTACTGGAAATGCTTGTATAAACACAAGCCCCTGTCAACACCACGAGCTCGTGCAGCTATGCCGGAAGAGGTAAATTGGTTCTTCAATTTGGCATTGCTGTAGAATTACGGATTTGCTGTGTTCTGTGGTTTTATTGGTTTTTGAAGACGAAGGAAGATGATGATGATGCTTTGTTTTTTGTTTTTTTGAACTTTTTTGCAAATGTATTAATTACTCTGTTACTTAACTAAATATGAATCCTTATACAGTTATATTATATCAAATCAGGGCATAGAGTGTTTTAAATTCACATATAGATCTCTCTCAATAATCTTGATCCTCACATTCATGGCTGCTCTACAAGTTTACTGTTGTTACATAAAATGCATGCTTCTGTGACAAATAATTAACTATATTTAACAATATTTTCTAGATTTTATTATTGTTTTTACACATATATGCATTTAAAAGTTTGTAAAATCTTAAGAAACCAATTTGTATCCCTTTATCTTGTTCCAATATCCTATCAGTATTTTTCCTTTATTTGTTTATAAATATAAGCAGAATCAAATGAAACTTACACAGTAGTTTGCATACTGTAAAGTACACAAGATTTATACCTCAGTAAAAGTGCATACTTTTTATATTTTTAAAATTTTAAATTGATCTAGTTAGTCTATTGAATGTTGTTTAGTTGGTTGTTAGATCATATCATGTTTAATGTTAATTACTGTCATTAATCGATTGTGTCATCCTTCCCTTGTGTTTGATATTTTTATCAGATTGCACATTACACCAGGGGCTTTGGCAATGCTCGGACTACTTCTCACCCTTCTTTGGCTGGTCTATCCTCTTGGTTCTTTCTTTGCCTTTGTATAGGCTGACATACTTTTCATGGATTTGCATTTATAATGTTCTGAATGAATTTTCTGCAGGACACATGACGCTCTCTATGCAACCAAAGAGGTGAATGATTCATTGTCAATATATTTTCTTGTATTTTCAAAACTAAACTATTTGTAATGTTGAAAGCACAACAGCCAATATGGTTAGAGATTTATTTCTTGGTTAGTTGATAGTATGTTATAGAAGCCATATGTTTTGTCAAATCTTCTCATATATGAGCTTTGTAATACGACAACCTTTTAAGGCTCATTAACCAGGTTATATGTTAATGTATGCTTGCTACATGAATTCTCATGACTTAATTGAATCCTCTTAGCGCTCTTGTATTTGGTTGATCTTAACGTATCTTTCTAGAAAATTATCGTCTTTAAAATTTGAGGAAACATGCAGGTTGAGTTGTTGAAGTAATTCCATGTTTGAAGATCAGATTCTTTTATTTATTTATTTATATATTTATTTTTGTTGTTGTAGGGAATTCTTGATCAACCTTCGGCATGATGTCAATTTGCAGATATGGAGCAGGGCGTACAGTTCGAATTCTGGTATATTTTACTTTTTAACTGCCAATTTATGTCAGAATGTTTTGCTTAAATTTGTCAGTGGATAAAAACAGAAGTTTCCATATATAAGTCTGTTTTATAACTTTTGCATCACCTATTCAAATTTGGTATGAAGTTATGATTTATGAAACTTCACCAGACTCATCACTGGAAAAATTCAAGTTAAGTATGCACTATTTAGGAGGAATATATAAATTGCATACTTATGAAAAGAAATGGAGAAATAGTCATCAGATCACTCATAACCAGTAAGGATCTGTGGGGCAATTTTACGTATGAATACTGACTAAATTATTTCTGGGGACCATTTGTTTTAGTTTTCATGTTTGTGGTTGCTGTTTCATTTATACACCCCTGATGCATGGAACCATGGCAATTAAATTCATCCTTATTTTTGTTCTCAGAATCAACTCACTTTCCCTCTCCTCTTCTATCTCAGCCTCTGTTGGCTGTCCTTTTTTTTATTCTGCCCTCCAGTCTTACTTCTCACTCATCCCATTTTTGTGCTGTGTCTTTTGATTCAATTCTGTTTTATTTGTCTTTTTGTCCTCTAATGTTAGGGTTAGGGTTGGCTGTTATCGGGACTTGGGGGTGTTATTTTTCTCTAGAGGCCTTCTCACTAACTTAAGTATTCCTGAGTGTCAATGTTATTTCATCATCTTGAATGAATACATGTGAAATTTGAATGGTGTAATAACAGCCCTCAAGATCAGCTGCATTTTTTCCTTATGATATTTAAACTTTGAGGTTTTTGATTCGTGGTTGATTATTTTGTTCACACCCCCTCGTTGCAGCAATTTATCGACATATAATTGCCAAAATTAGGATGTGATAGCATTGCAGTACTGCAGTGACATCCATGGGATAAGACCGTATAAAAATGTTTTAGTAAATAATCTTGCTTGTAACTTAACCATCCTATTAATTCATGGGCAGATGGTGATCTTGTTGAAGCTGTGGTCCCTCATATGGGTGAATCTATAACTGATGGCACATTAGCGACATTTTTGAAAAGTATGTAAATCTATTATTCTTTTCTAAAGTACCCAATTCAGAATGAATGCCAATAAACTATTGTTTTTTGTCTGTTCCACTTTCTGGTCTGATCAGAACCTGGGGACAGAGTAGCAGTTGATGAGCCAATTGCTCAAGTAGAAACAGACAAGGTAGGAAATTTTTGTATATTCAAGAGGTGGGAGTTTCTTTTCCTCCAAATAGATTTAAAGGAGCATGTTTTTAAATGTTTTGGAAGAAATGTTAATGCCATCTCCATCTAACTCCTGATTAGTTCTAGCACTAATGTTCCTATTGAACTTTTATTATTATTATTATTATTTTATTGATATAGAGCTCCTTTCTTGAGTACTTGATTAACAGGACTTGGGTTGCTTGTTATCTAGGTTACCATTGATGTTAACAGCCCTGAAGCAGGTGTAATCCAAGAGGTACAATGACACAAATATGATTTCTATTGTTACCTGTATCCTTCTCATTCACATATATCTGATATTCTGATAATTTTGCTTATTGTGCATGTTCGTAGTTGATAGCTAAAGAGGGAGATACTGTGGAGCCTGGCACCAAGATCGCTACTATATCAAAATCTGATGAAGGTGCAGCTCCTGCCTCACCTTCTGATAAGAAACCATCTGAAAAATCTCCACCACTGTCTTCTTCCCCTGTTGAAGAGAAACAGGAGAAACCAGTGGCCAGAGTTGAGAAAGCCCCAGTAACAGAAATGACGAAGGGAAGTTCTTCCCCTCCCAAAACACCATCTACAGAACCTCGGTTGCCTCCTAAAGAAAGAGAAAGACGTGTAAGGCCGAAGTTTTCACATACTTTTATGCCTTGCAGTTTTGTGTTGCATTTGGCATGACTAATATCTGAAGTTATACTGATGACAGGTTCCTATGACAAGACTTAGGAAACGAGTTGCAACTCGATTAAAAGATTCTCAAAACACATTTGCTTTGTTGACGACATTCAATGAAGTAGACATGTAAGTTTATTTATGTGTTGGAATTTTCATTCTTAAATCTTGAACTGGATATTCTAGACTTGTTCCTTCATCTGATGACTGTTAGTAACGATGAATTCAAGTTTTTAACTACAACCATGCTAGTTCAACCATGTTCAAGTTATAATCGACATTTCTGACATTCATAATGAGGATACTGTCCAAACAATTTGCTTTGTGTTTATCTCGACTGTTTAATCGCCTGCATTGTTGGTCAACTCGTTGCTGCTTGATAACCACATTTACATTGTGCTTACCATCCATCATATATTATCCTGTTTAAATTCTGATGCTGCACAATTTGGTAAAATCAGGACCAACTTGATGAAACTCCGTTCTGACTACAAGGATACATTTGTTGAAAAACATGGAGTGAAGTTGGGATTGATGTCTGGATTCGTAAAAGTAGGCCGATTCAATATCTAACTCTGGTCCTCGTGAATGCTTCTGGTAAACTTAACTCGCTCTCCCTGTGAATTTCAGGCAGCTGTCAGTGCTCTTCAGAAGCAGCCGATAGTGAATGCCGTTATTGACGGTGAAGACATAATCTACAGAGACTACATAGATATTAGCATAGCTGTCGGCACCGGCAAGGCAAGAGATGCACTATTTACCCTTTTTACCAATTCAGGCTTTTGCTTTGCATGTCTTTTAATAACTTAAGCATATCTCTTTCTTATTTTTCATTATTAGTCAGTGTGTAGCATTTGCAGATGTTGCCAAGATTTACTCTAAAAATTCTAACCTTTTACTTCCATCAGGGTCTCGTGGTTCCTGTCCTGCGCAATGCGGAGAAGATGAATTTTGCGGAGGTTGAGAAAGAAATCAACAATCTTGCAAGCAAGGCCAATGACGGGAGCATATCGATAGATGAAATGAGCGGGGGAACATTTACCATATCCAACGGTGGTGTATATGGAAGTCTTATCAGCACCCCCATCATCAATCCTCCTCAGGTTTGTTCTTCCCATCAAGCTGCAACACAACTTGTTTATCCTGTTGGATAATGTTGGTTGATTTCATTATATATATATATATATATGTATATGTATGTATAGTCTGCAATCCTGGGGATGCACTCAATTGTGAATCGGGCGATGGTGGTGAGAGGCGAGATGGTGGCGAGGCCGATGATGTACATTGCACTGACGTACGATCATAGGCTGATTGACGGAAGAGAGGCAGTGTTTTTCTTGAGAAGGATCAAAGATGTGGTGGAAGATCCTCGAAGGCTGCTGTTGGACGTATGATCAAAGGTGAAGAAAAGATGCTTTGATATTTCTTCCACAAGGTCAGACTTTGATTTCATTTATTGTTGATGCTGCTCACAAGCTCCCCAAATGTCCTTTCTGTTTTTTATTTTGTTTTGGTTTTGGTTTTGATTTTGTTGGTTCGTTGGCTCGCTGATTGATAGAGATATTTTTGAAGGACTGCTGTTATAGTGGATTTGTTTATTCAATGTTTTTGCATAACACGGTTTCTCATAAATGTTATTTAAAAAATATAATGTACACACATTCGTTAATACAATTTATAATATACATATTTTTTATTTATTTACAAAATTAATAATTCAATATAAAACATGATTTTTTTGTATATTTTAATATAAATATATACATATATCTATCCAAAAATACAAAGTAATCAAGTTAAATACCTAATAATATGTTGTATTATACATATTATATGATTGTGTATGTATTGTATTTTTTGAATGAGTAGTATATATATATATCATGTATATCATGTGTGATTGTATATATATATATATATTATATATTTTTGTGAATGAGCAGTTATATATTATCTTATTGTGTGTTAGAAAAGATAAATTGAAGTCTTTTTAATTTTGGCTAATGTAGTCAATGTAGCAGTATTTTCAGGTTATGCATTGACAACAAAAAGACAAGTCTTGCACATGAGAAGTTACTTGCAAATGTTACATTCAAAGGAAAATTGATATTTGGAAACAAAAGAAGTTTGTTTCATATTTCATGCCATCTGGAAATTTTAGCTTGTATGGATACATTTATTCCCTTGATTATCCAGCCACAAAGAGACACAAGAATTAATCTTAATTAAGGTGTGTGGTTTTCAACTAAAATAAAGTGAGAGACTAGTTGAGTTTCTCTCAATTTTTCATAATAAGATACTCTATGATTTGGAAATGAGAAGAATGGAATGTTTCCGCGGTCTTGTAAAACTATCTTATCAAAGAGAAAAATGAGTTCTATCCGAAGAAGATGATCAACTTATAAGTTATCTTAGTTTGAGCTGGACGGTATGTCTACTGGTGTTATTAGGGTTGAGTAACAATTAATTCTTCTATGTTTGTAAAATAATGAGAGTTTATTTAAATGATAGGTTGTGGACTTTGTTGAGTGTCTTGAATGTGTGAATCTGGTGATAAGTTTAGTAAAGACGCTGATGGATTAGAATTCTTAAATGTAGAATCATGTGTGTTGTTTGTTTATATTTTTGTACTTATCCGATTATAGGTTACTGCTTGTTTAACACATTGAAGTTATAACTACGCGAGAATCATGTTGTAAAGCTGTGTTTACCTAAAAAAATTTCATAATTCCGCTCTGAATTAGACTTGGAGGTGTTGGACAACAATGTGTATATATATTGTATGACATTTTTATCAATAATAATATATTCTATATTTCATTTAAAATTATAAATATAATACTCATGTTGTCCCATAAAAGTTCATTTTAATCGCCTCATAATACATTTTTATTTTTAGTAATATATCAATTTTAAATATATTTAAAAAATATAAATCAGTTTAATTGAATTTCTATAATCTTATAATAAGGACTATATTTAAAATCTTCATTTTTTATAAAATTTATTTTATGTTAATCATAATAAATAAATATTCTATTTATTTGTATTATATAAATTTTTTATATTTACAAAATAATATCTATATTTTTATATATTTTAAATATATGGAGAAGTCGGTTGATTATTTACATGAGCATTAGAATTTATAGTTTTGTTTACTTCTTCGTTTCACTAGAATACCATGTTGTTGGAACAAGAATTTCCCTCACCTATTTTGGCATATAGGTCTTCCATTTTTTTTTTTGTGCTGCCTTTCGTAGATTCTTTTGGAGTAATTTGTCTTGTCTAGCAACCTGTTTTGTCTTGTCTTTCGTGGTAGCTTTTCAAGACAAAAGGGATGGATACGTTGGGTTAGTCAACTTGGCATCAGAGTTCATGCAGACACGTCATTCTATTTAGGTGCAAGGGATTTTAATTATGTTTCTCTTGCATGGCCTGCATGGTGGCTATCTTTTTTACCGTGATTGAGAGTGTGGTTGTTGTAAGAGTTTTGAGAGTGGAGTATAGTGAGAGAAAAATGAGTTCAATCTTCTAAACCCCAACCCTTTCATTCTCCATGCGTTAAGTAAGTGTCTTTCACATCTCACTGGAGAGTTCGCCGGAGGAAGAAGAAATCGGAATTTCGATCAGGGAAAGCATATTCCGAGCAGCCTTGCTATTTGGTAGTTGTTAGTACGAGCTTGTGACGACGTATACCTGTGGAGGATTTTTCCTAGGTAACCAGTATTGTAGTATGGGTTGAAGGAGTTTTGATTGTTTTTGTTCTTAACCAGCACTGATTAGTCAACTACTCATTGATTGAAATCCCCCAGTGTAGGTTGGTTATGACTGAACCGGGTAACCAAATATCTTGTCATTTATTGTTTTGACCAGTGCATTTATTTCGTTGACAAGATGTTATAATTGTGTATAGCTACGCTTCAGGAATTGACCCTTGAATAGGTGTTTGAAGGAGTTTTTAGTGCAACACCTATTCCCCAACAAATTTGATGAGTTCGAAAATTACCTCAATGCACAAATTGTGATTAGTCGTCATGTCCACAAAAAACTAAGCAAAATGCCCTATAAGATATCTAATTATATCAACAACAATAGTCAATTGCATATGCGATAAACAATCTCAATTTTGTCATTTTTTGCGCAAACAGATAATTCACGTTATGCTTTTGATCTTTGTATCCATAATATTTAGTTCCAGTATAAATGTGAACTATTTTCGGCACCTTCATGCTTTTTAAATTTTGTAATATGCTCTTTTTTTTTCTTTTTTTTTTTAAAAAAAATTCTAAATCAAACTTTGGTGAAATATTGCTTCGTGTTTATGACATTCACTAAACAAATAGCACCAAGACAAAAAAAAAAAAGAACATCTTTAGAGACACTATATTTCAACCAGGTAAAATTCTTAAACCATGTCTTTTGAAATTTTCTTTTAACCTCACCATATTGGCTTGATAGAAAATTATCTTAGCACGTAGTTGACAAGGTACATCGGCTAAATATTGTTGTCCATTCATCTTTAATTTCATCTGGATAACTCTCAATTTATTTTTGAATGATCTTATCAACATTATAACTAGAATGTGGCTCGTTAGAACCGTAAGCAATAGATACGAGATAATTAATTGAATACTCTCGGTAATTGGCTCGAAACTTTTGTCTTGGCCGTTTTATTGTGACAATCTGGGAAATCACGGAATGGCGAGACAAATTATCTCGCCAAATTGACCGAGAGAATATCGTGACAACAGATTGTCTTGAAAATACTCACAAGCGTCGTTGAGATTATATTTTGCCTAAAACAATGGTGATAATTTCTAAGAGTGTGTTTTGTATCAAACTGTTGTGATAATTTTCTAGACTATATTTTGTCTTGAACAGTCGTGAAAAATTTTGAGACTACTTTGTCTCAAAGTTCCGTGATAATTTCCAAAAATATATTATCTTAAACCGCTGTGACAATTTTTGAGATTATATTGTCGCAAGGAATTATGACAATATCCGAGACTACATTCTATTTCCAAATCAAGACTATGTGTTGTATTGAATAATCATAATAATAACCGAGATATTTTGTCTTGAATAACTATGACAATAATCGAGAATGCATACTATATTATATCTCAAAATAATTGTAGCAATATCCAGAACTATAACATATATCGAACAACTGTTAAAATATTTGAGATTCTATATTTATTGTATTTCAAATAAGTGTAGAAATATACTTAATTAAAAATGTATACAATCTAATGCTAAAATAAATTAATTATTTGATTAATTCATTCCTCATTATATTTCCACCAAAATGAATGCATATCAATATCTCAAATATTTATACTGCACAAACACATAAGAACCCTGAAGCATCACTCTAATTGTCTTTTCATGTGATCCTAGCTCTGACACTCGACTTGACGACTAAATAAATCATCCGTATACAATTAGGGATAAAAAAGATTCTTTTAAGATGCTTGAATATAATTATTTTGGATATTTTTAGTGTGTATGTAATAAGAACCTATATATATATAAGATAATATTATAAAAAATTTACAAAAATATACAATAAAAAACATTACGAAGTGAATAAATTACTTCAACTTCAACAGTCGATTTGAATGCATACATGTCATTTGGTTAATTTGGGTGAATTTCAAGCTGAAAAAATATTCAATTTAAATCAAATTCCTATTAGCAATTGCAATTAATAATTTATATACTTATGTATTCAAATCAATTGTATAGAACACCTATCATAACAACACTTAGTAAATATATACTACCTCTATCCCGGTAGAAGAGTAATAAATAATAAGTTAAAAGATTGTAGTCCAAAATAAAAGTTTTCTACGCCAAAAAAAAATGTTCAACAATACAGTCATATTTTGTCGAAACTATTTCATATATTTTTTTTTTATCTATCTCGAAGTTTTCCAATAAGAATATGCCGTAGTTAAGAATTGATTGGCATACCGGATCGATTCTTGATTGTAATGGCTATTCTCTTTCTTCTTAGCAGCAGAAGTTATTCTTATATTTGTATAATTATTTTGCACAAATATCATTATTAAATGACACTAATAAAAATATTTTTTGTTATATACGTTTTTCATATAATAATTAACGCTCAAATTTATTTGATGTTTTTAAAATTACAATTTGTACAGTAGAAAACAAATCAAAGCTTAGGTGAAAATGGTTTACTGGATGACAAATTCGGTAAAAACAACATCGGAGCCTCCAAAAACCCGACCCTATCCGGATTTTCGTTCCAATTTCCACCGGACACCGTATTATTATTATTATAAATAAATAAATAGATATCAACAATAATAATCAATCTGCTACTCTTTCTCTTCCTCGTTCTACTCGTCGCCGTCATTCTCCCCTTTTCGATGTCGATGGCCGTCTCTCGATTCCTCTCCCAATCCCTAGCCCGATCCTCTCTCCGCCCGCCGGCTCCCCTCATCGCTCACCCCCGCCACCGCTCCACCAAGGCACGCCGCGCCGCCCAGATCGCCGACGCCGATGCCGACGCCGCGTCTTCGTCGCAGTCCGATTCGCCCGAGGCGGCTGCGGAGGCCATCACCGTCGGAATCAGGAAGTTCGAGGAGGCCATCCAAAACATCATGGTGCGCCGCGCCGCCCCCGATTGGTTGCCCTTCCTCCCCGGGTACTCTTACTGGGTCCCACCGCGGGCGACCTCCTTCCATAGCATCTCCCCCGCGGGGAAAATGATTATGGCCGTCGAGGAATTCGATTCTCCTTCCGACACGTCTAGGGATTGGATGTCGCAAAAGGAGCTTTCGGAGGATGAGCAGATGTCTCTAACTTCTACCAAAGGATGGCCGTCCTATGAGTTCTATGTTGAGGGTAATAATCAAGTCGATGCTTAATTGATTCACATCTGCTGAAGAAATCATAATCATGATCAATTTTTTGATCTTGACATTGAATTGGAGAATTAACCATTGATGCAAAATTTGAGATTCTGGATTAAATTGAATTTACCATCCAATGATATAAGTGTTTAGTGCTTTTAGGGCTGCATTTCTTCCAAAAATCTTCAGAAAATTTATATTGGAATTTCTTTCATGTTCTTGGAAGAGGTCTTATTTATTGAGAATGTCATTGAAGGCCAGAGGCCTTAGAACGACTTTAGATTCTGATACAGTTTTAAGATAACACATAAAGTGCATAATATCTTCAAAAACATTTTTGTCCCTAATTTATATAAACACAGAACAACTAATTTAGGCTTGAATCCTTTCCCATATTCACTACAATAGTTGTATCTTGAATCTGTATCCATGCTCGCTATAATTCACGATTATATTTTCATTTATTCTGTCTTGGCTTCTTTTCATGTGTATGCTATCTGAGCTTTCTTAAGTTATTTGGTCCGAGTTATATCTATACTATTTAATTAGCACTAGTATAAATAAATATACTGAAAATTTTGAAAGCCTCTATGCCTGCAGGATCTTACCGATTTATATATATTGATGTACACCCTTTTCCATTTTAGGTACTTCACCCGTCCATCCTCTTCCGGCAGTGGAAGTGAAGGTGGAAGATCAAAATAGTGAAGACAATGAAGTTGGTGCATCTAATTCCGCGGATGAGGAAGGATGAACCTTAGCTCCCACTTAAATGTCCTTAGGTGCTTATAACTATTAACAATTAATAACTTGGCTTTCTTTTTTATAGTCATATGAAGCGTGATATACAGCAATAGTCTTTTCTTTATTTCTTAGTTTTCTTTTTCTTCCTTTCTTCTTGAGGCTTTGCTATCAAATTGGTTGTATATACAGTTGAATTATCCGTGCTGCCGAAAGGAGTCAAAATTTTAAATGTTGTGTGTTGAGGAAGTCTAAAAATTGTTGAAAAAGTTGCCTCAATTTTTAACGCTGTTCAAATTGGTGTCTAACTGTGCATCATGGTTCAGCTGGTGCCATTTAGGGTGAAAATTGCATTGCTTTTATCTAGGATCGGCCAAATTAATTTTTTCTATCCATACACCTAGCTATTTACAGAACTCGTATTCTAGTATGAGTAAACCCTAGAACGCTAAAAGACCTGTGCAATGTTATAGTTTATGTTTTAACACAGAAATCATCAAAATAAACAAATAAATCAATAGCTATGATTGGCCATGCTTGTTCTGTTTTGCTTTCTTTGCTATCCCTCTAAATCTAGGTAGTTTTTGTGTTCAGTTGTGACTTGGCATTATATCTGTTTTTCTCTTGCTCTTCATCTTTTCCTTCTAATCTTGTGTGGTTGCTGCTGTCTGCTTGGTCTATCTGATCATGTTTTTTGTTTCCTGCTCTTTTCCTTTTTGGCTTCTGCTTGGCTATTGGGGCCATTCTTACCTATCTTTAAATCAATGTGTAATTTCTTTGGCATCTTTTGAGTTGCTCGGTTTCTTGCTTTCTAATTATCACAATTATTTGCTACTTGATGATCAGCTAACATCGATATTCTTATGAACTTTTTGTTGGTTGCACGCCAGCGTGATATGTAACATGACATAATTGTTAGCTAACTGTGTAATGTGGGTGCGGTATAGTATCTAACTTTTGTACTATATGGTGTTCGTCATACAGGCAGATGATAAGTATAACTGATGGAGAATGATTCATCTTTTGTCATTTACCGAATATTTGGATGTTTCTCCATTCCCCATCGCCGCCTCTTTTATTTTGAGATTGTATTGTAATTTAAGAACTTGCCGAGTATATATATAGTAGAAAGATGTTATTATGCCGACAATAATTACTCTTAACTCATGCCAACTGATCTGTATTGGTTTTCAAAGAATACAGCTGACATATTTTATTCGTTGTTATGTAAAGAGGTCTTAATCAGCAGAAACCATGCTCAACTAACTGTATTCTCCATCTCTTTCATCCCCCCTGGTGATGTTTGGTGTTTTGCAGGAGAAAGAAACATCGACATTGTAGATATCCATCCATCCATCCATCCAGACCATGGAAGCAGTAAAAAGGGAGGAACCTTGTTGGAAGGGAAGGGAAACAAGAGCAGGGGCAGGCAGCCTTGGTATTGTTTGTTTGGAAGCATAGTTGCAGAACGAGCGCGCCACAGTCGAGCCCCGACCATAGAATGTACATTCTGGTTTTGTTGCAGCTCTTCTTTTTACTTTTCTTTGTATGACCTATATGAACATAAGTTACCTTACCTTACCTAACCTACATTATTATTACTATTATTATTAAGATCATTTGGGAGAGATCCTTGCAGCAGCCAGCAGCCCTTTTGTGAAGTTGCACAGGAATTATAATTATGATGTAATAACTATCAGACGATACATGTATTTAAAATGCCTGTTCATGACATGGGTAGAGTTTGTTTCAAGCTGCTGTGGTCGGTTTTTGTTATTTGATCCAATCGCGAGCATATAAAAATATACTTTCTGGCTCTAAGGTTATTATTTATTTTGTATGTTATTGTATTTAATATTAAAAATATTTCTATATTTGCATATTTTTATATTTGCATATTTTTTCCATTTTTCCTTATTTGTACTAAGCATGCAAAACGTAAATAGGAACGATATTTATTGAAGTCAATAATATACTATGTTGGGTAATTATATCATGATGGTGCCTTTACTTATTATAATATCTAGATTATTGTTATGATGGGATTAATTAATATGATGTTTATTTTATTTGATTAAATATAAGAGTACATAAACTATAGTATAAATATTATTTGGATAAAATAATCACATAAACATAGGTAGAATTAATTATCTGGCTTTATCCATATGAGACTTTAATTCAATCAATCCCCTCTAATTCTTCAAAGTAAACACACATGAAACGGTTTGAAACACAATTGTGAAATCAAATCACCATGAGAAGCTAATTAGAAATGGAACCATTTTGTTGATCCACAAAATCCCATTCCAACATCTCACTATATGATAATCCCAAATTCACCACAAAAATTGGTGTATGATAATCAAATTCTGTTCTAAACCAGAGCTATATTTCAAATTCTACATATGACATATGAAGATCAATTTATTCTTTAAGTTTGGGGATTTCGCCTTTCCTCAAGCAAGAAAGAGCATACTCACCAGTATCAATTAGATCTTGAATGTTATGTAGGGATCGCTCCTCGGAACCCACAAGAAATATTGCCCGAGCCTCCGCTTTCTTTGCCAGCCTTGCTGCGTAGTTCAATGGCAAAATGGGCGAATTAAGGGTCCTTAGAATTTGTCTGTACAGTGATAGAACTCTACCTCTGTTCCTAGCCATATCCTCTGCAGTTGCCCAGATCAATCCTTTCGCCATTCTTTTTGGGAATTCAGAACCTGCACAAGATTTAAACTGGTTAATGCACACAATTGATTGAATAATCATGCAACAAAATCGAATAACATACAACAAACACATTAGATTACAGTTAGTTTTGACTCAGAATGCAACAAACAGATGTGTAATGAAATAGCAACTAATCAAAAAGTTTGTGTACATAATAAGCATTCAACATCAAAATGGGGGGGCCATAAATAGTGCAACTTGCAAGATAACGACATGGTCATATTAACTGAAATAGAATTAATATAACAACAAACACTCAATAAAATGTATGCAAACTGAATTAACAAACAATAAGCACCAACTTGAAATAATATAACAGCAAATCTTGATACCCATATATTGAAAGTGAAATATCACAAGTTATACTACAGCAAAACTCGGTATTGCATTGATAACACCCAAGAATTCAAAATTAGTGCATGATTGAACTTATAAAAGCCTCTAAGAAGCCCAAGCCAAAGCTGAAGAAGAGGACAACGAAGCCAGGGAAAAGTCTAGCCATGCCTATTGGAAAAGGGGAAAAGGAATGAATTTGGATTTGGGGCTAAAGTAAGAATTAAGAACAAGCCTTTCCGGAGGCCGACCACTCTACCCTAACACACAACCTGCCTTTTAGAACTTTTAAGAAGATAAAAAGATGAATAGAAAGTTAGAAACAAATAACATATTATCTAATCCCCACCAAATCCATACAAACCAATAAGCCATGCTATTTATATACAAATAAATTTTTATAACCATCAAAATTGTCGGATGAAGCAAACAGAAAGTATTCCCCACAATCAAAACATTACTAATCGTCGTAGCATCACACTAAAAATCAATACATTCCCTTTACTTGGATGTAGAACACCATTATTCCTACTGAAAGTTCAGTAAACAAAGTGGATCTTTTGATTAACAAACTTGAAAAAATTAGCAAGCAAAGTAGACGAAACCAAGTTGAAATAAAAATCCTGAACAATAAAATAGAAAGTGTATTAAAAAAAAAAAAAATTAAGAATCTTATATAAGAAGAGCGGGAATCTCAACCACAATAAACTAACCTCTGAAATTCATAATAAAGAAAGAAAACTCAGTGGAAGATTTCAAAAAAAATTTCAATCATCTTACAAGCAGGGCCGATGTAGACTACGTGACGGCGACGAAGGCGGCGGCTACGGTACTGTGTCGGTTTCACATTCTTTCGAACCGCCTGTTCGAAGCGGTGGATCGGGCAATTTTTCTTATTAGTTTTCCTTAAAGCGACGTACTGTGGCTGGAGAAATGCCGACACTAATGGACAAACACTAAAGGCGGACACGGCGGCTGGGAAAAGCAGCGACGGTCGTCCGCGAAGCTTGATTGACGGAGGCGGAGGCGGAAGCAGCAGCAGCGGAGGGACGACTTGGAAGGAAAAAGAACACGGGGAAGAGGAAAAGGAAACACGAAGAAGATGAACGGCGGGGCGATAAGAATAAAATTGGGCGGCGGTGGCGCTGTAGGTGTAGGGCAAAACACCTAAAAATTTTCTGATAATAAAATTAAAAAAAAAAAAGAAAAGAAATATGAAACTTTGATCTAAATCCCACAAAAAAATGTACTGTATTATCTATTTTAAGATACCATATTATCTATTTTGTAAAATGATTATAGATAGTTTTCTACTAGTATTATTTATTTTGGCCATCTAATGATAAATTTATATATTTGTTATATAATATAATCCTATTGTGTTTATATGAACATATAGTTTTTAATTACCGTACTCTAAAATTATAGTTAAAATTATAACATCATATAAATTTAATTTCAAATCAATGTACATTAGTTTATTATTTATATATCAGTTACAAAATAGTAAAAAAAAAAAAATACAACAAAATTTAAAATATACATACGATTTCAATCAATTTTTTTTTCTTTATAAATTTTTCTCTGGAGTCGTCTATGACAATCATTCTTAAAATCATTACTCCTGCATTGAAAGTTTTCCGGATAAAAATCAATTGAAAGGATAAAACAAAGGTACGCAATCTACTCGAAATATTGAAGAGAGTCTTATTCACAAATGAAGTTAAAGAATTAAGTTATAGTTTTTGTATTTGGTAATATCGATATTTTAGTTTTGTGTTATCGAATTCATAGTATATTCTAGTATCTTTATCTTGTGCCTCTATTTGGGAAGTACAAGCTTCCTACTAGCTGAGCTTACTTTGACATTGTACTCCACCACCGTTTTAAATATAAGTTATTTTGATGTGTTTTATATTGTAAATAATTTATTATATATAAAAGTATCTTCATTTTCATATTTTTATGTTTTATTTTATAGTAACACTTTTGGTTACAACAAATAGTATATAATGTATGCACTAGTTTTCAATTGATGTTTCTAAGTAAAAAAATTAAATACCTATATTGTCATTCATAAACTTGAATTAATGTTGTATATACTTTTGCAGATTTATGTCTTTGATTTAAATATTGTCAGACCTAAGGTGAAAGCCATGATTGTGGGCTACTAATATGTATGTTATCCGAAAATTACGCTTTATATAACACAAAAACTTATTCGCTTAGCAGATGAGCTACCGAATTCGACAATGTCAAAATATGTCGAGCAAAAATTGTTGTGAAGATTTTATCAAGAGATCTAGAAGGAACTGTCTAGTATCATTTAACATATTTATATGTTAATTTTTATGCATGAATTGGAAACAATTGAAGTTTGAAGTGTATGGTTACAAAATTGGTATAGCTAGTCATTAATGTTATGTTTTGTAAAAAACTTTAAGAATCATCATAGTTTCTAACTTAACATATGACATATGTAGTTCTCCAACCTTGATATTATATGTACACACAAAATTACGAAATATACTTCGGTGTGCAAAATTTTATGGTTAGGTTTGGAGAACCCCTAAATTTGAACAACATACCAATATGATGTTCTCATGGGTGATGAGAAACCTATCTTATGTGACATTCTCAACGAACGATGTTTATCCAAAAAAAATTAAAAAAATCAACCTCAATAGCTTGTTTCACACACAAACCCGAACAAAGAGGAAGCAATCGTGCCGTACCCCAAGCTACTCCCCAAATCGACTGATCCGTATGAACCTAAAGAAGAATTAAAGATTAATACAAACCAATTTTTTGTGTTCCTCAAATTGATATCGGTTTGAGAATGCAACGGACGAAGAAACGTATATCCACACTGAATCATAGTGGAGAAAACTAAAAAACCTTACATGAATGTCGGTGCTGGAGTAGCTTGTCGATTCAACCAATTTGACAATGATGGTCATGTCGGCGCAAGGAGGGAGGAGAACAACGATTGCGAGAGGGGGGAAAGGTGTGGCCTAATTTGTCTAAGTGTAGTCCTTATACCTTCTTAAAAACGTTATCCATCATTTTTGGATGAAAGTGTAAATGCGTTTTTATTTTTTATTTTTAATTTAAAATTTAAAATATTAAGTTTAAATTGAAAAAAATTAATGTCATTAGTCACAAAAATTTATCATAACTAATATTATTTTGACCAAAGTTTACCATACTCTTAATTGTTATGGAAAATTTTGAGTAACTACTAAACCTAAAACATTGACCGGACAAAAATTCTTTAGTCACGGATTTTATCGTAACCAAAATACTTATTTTTCACGATACTATTGTTATGAACCCTCAACTCGTGGTTATTACCCCCTTTTTTTTTTTGGTAGTGAGGTATCTGCGGGGAACATCAAATTTTTGTCTTGAATTTAGGAAATGAGATAACCCGCAATCGCTGATTGGATATGTCGACTCTGACTATGCCGAAGACTTGCATAATAAGAAGTCAACATTTGATTTTATCTTTACTTTTGGTGGAGGACCGGTATATTGGAAGTCCACCATGCAGTCAATAATAGCTATGTCCACAATACAGGCAGAGTACATTGCTATTTCAGAAGCTGCGAATGAAGTCTTATGGTGGAAGGGATTCACCGATGAACTAATTCCTTAACAAGGTGGAGTATGCTACACTGCAACATTCAAAGCGCAATATGCTTAGCGAAAAATCAACTATATCATTCTGGAAGCAAACACATTGAGGTCAGATTTCATAAAATTAGAGAACTTGTTGCATCTGGGCAAATATATTTGGAAAATGTGCATACAGATGAGAATGCAGAAGATATGTTCACCAAACCGGTCACAGTCGAAAAGTTCAAGGATTGCTTTAACTTGTTTTCTATGGTATGGTGATGGAAAACAACACAATTTCCTTTTCGACAAAGGCAATACAATGGGCTAATATTTCACCAAGGTGGAGATTTGTCGAAATGGACTCAACATCATCAAAGGGCCGTGACGGATCCAGGGGTGCGGGGCTGGAGCCCCTGCAGTACGGAGCGGGTCAAATGACCCGGGGTGTATAGGGTTTCTTTTGTAGTTGTGAATTGGTTGATTGTTGGATATTGTACCGCAAGAAACGATTCACGGGAAATAAAAATGGCACACACCCGAGGACTAGACAATCTTGGCCGAATCTTGTAAATCTCGTCTTTTTATTTTTGATTTATCATCGCGTGTGTTAGTTGATTGATCTTTCAAGATTCTTCAACAAATTGACAAACTGTCATACTCCTTGTCTATCGAAGAACTTCCGCGGCTGAGATGCACATTCATTATTGATCGGAGCAGAGTGGTGCCCATGATAGGGGAAGTGGAGACGAAGACAGATGATGCTTCTAAACATAATCCTGCTGCATAAGTTATGGGATTTTGAACGAAAAATTCACGATGTCTAAAATTTCTTCTAATTTTAGTTTTTATAATTTTCAAGATATTTTTAATGAAACGTCAGCATTTAGGGTCTGAGTCTTGAAATATTCATCCAATGATATTGTATTATTGATCATCAAAATAAGGGCCTATATATAGGAAATACAAAACAGACTCGATAGACTCAAATCTAAGTAATCTAATCTATGATAAAAACCAAATCTACTGAATCTAAAACTGAATATCTAAAATATCTCAACATCCTCCCTCAAACTTAAGTGGTATAACAAAAACCAACTTGAGTTTAATAAGAAAATTGAGTATAAACGCAAAAAAAAAAAAAAAAAAAAAACACAAAAAACAAGATGACCTCCACAAGAGCCGAAAATAAGATGACTTCATCGGAACCAAAATGAGATGACTCTCCACCGGAGCCGAAAATGACATAAATCAACCGGAGCTGAAAACGAGATGACTCTCCACTGGAGCAAAAAATGATATGACTTCATCGGAGCTGAAAACGAGATCACTCAACCGGAGCAAAAAACGAGATGACTCAACTGGAGCTGAAAACGATATGACTCCACCGGAGCCGAAAATGAGATGACTCTCTACCGGAGCAAAAAACGAGATGACTCCATTAGAGCCGAAAATGACATGACTCTCCACCGGAGTCGAAAACGACATGACTCAACCGGAGCAAAAAATGAGATGACTCCATCAGAGCCGATAACAAGATGACTCCACCGGAGCCAAAAACGAAATGAGTCTCCACCGGAGTTAAAAACGAGATGAGTCTCCACCGGAGCCGAAAATGACATGACTCTACCAAAGCCGATAACGATATGACTTAACCGTGAGATAAATCACAAACACCAAACAGATCGCACACAGAAAATAAACAAGCAACGGACAAATGGCAGATCGCAGACAAATTTCAGATCGCACGTAGGCAACGGACAAACAATGGACAAATGTTAGATTGCAGATAGGTTTCAAATCGCACGCAGATAACACACAAGCAACAGACAGATGACAGATCGCACACATATTTTAGATCGCCCGCAGACAACAGACAAACAACGGACATATGGAAAATCGCAGACATATTTTAGATCGCACACAGACAACAGATGTATAGCAGATCACAGACAGGTTTAAGATCGCACGCAGACAACAGACAGATAGCAGATATATTTTAGATTGCACGTAGGCAATGAACATATGGCAGATAGCATGATATCAAAATCACAAGACCTCCAAGTACAATCCAGGTTGAATGTACCCGGAGAAACGTAGGTTGGTAGGCTATATTTACGGCATGAGAAATATAGGCTCTGATACCATGTTAGAAATTTTGGGGGAAAAATAAAATTGTCTTATTATTCATCAAAATAAGGGGCTTATATATAGACAATACAAAATAGACTCGATAGACTCAAATTTAAGTAATCTAATTTATGGATAAAACCAAATCTAAATATAAATCTACTAAATCTAAAATTGAATATCTAAAATATCTCAACACAGATAACTTGAAAAATACTACGTAAGAATTCATAGGCGAAAAATGTTTGATACACATCACCGACATATATACCAAGAAAAGTTTCACATAAATAATTTAATAAAAATAAAATAATAAAATACTATGGAAGAACTTCCGCGGCTGAGATGTACATTCATTATTGATTGGAGCAGAGTGGTGCCCATGATAGGGGAAGTGGAGACGAAGACGGAGGATGCTTCTAAACATAATCCGGCTGCATTGGTTACGGGATTTTGAAGGAAAAATTCACGATGTCTAAAAGTTCTTTTAATTTTAGTTTTTATAATTTTCAAGATATTTTTAATGAAACGTCAGCATTTAGGGTCTGGATCTTGAAATATTCATCCAGATAATTCAAAAAAATGATACACAAGAATTCATAGGTTGGATACACATCGCTGACATATATACCAAGAAATTAAAGTTTTCCAGAAAGCACTTAATAACAATAGAATAGTAAAAGAAATGTCAAATGAAAAACAATTAATAACAATAAATTCTATCGATAAATTAAATCCATTAAGAAGCAAACAACAATGTGCCTCAAATACTTAAGTGCATATAAAATAAATGAAAGCAACGGTAAAAGTCAGGATAGGTGCACAAATTTCATAGCCTTTTAGTTGGGACAATACCTTTCTCGACTGAAAACTTTCTGCAGTAATCATCTTATTAAATGACGATTATGACATTAAAAAAAATTTTAAAAAGAAAAATACACAACGTTTTGATGAAAACAAAATAGCCCTAACTGAAAAACCAATATTGAATTTGAGGTAGAAAAATCATGACCTTCATATATTAATGCATAATTACTTTAGAGCATCCAAAAATATAAAGTGATCAAGGACATTTCATGTCAAGAATTACCACATGACTCTCCCATCACAAAAAAAAAAAAAACAAAAAAAACATGACTTCCACCTCGATGTAGAAATAAAATTAAACTTAATTAACGTTCGGACTTAACCAAGTGCAAATGCAAGATTTCCGTTTATAATTGAAGAAATTTATTTATTAGGTCAGAATATGTTAAATATTGGAAGCACGGCGTAAAACAACTAAATTCACATTCAAGATTTTACACCTTCATTGGATGCAATACAAGATAACCTTTTATATGTTATGGTTTCCAATATATATTCTTTTTGTTTCTTCTTCTATGCCATATCAAATAAAGTACAATAACATTTCCTAATCGTTGTAGTCTCTACTCATTCTTCGACGGCTCAGCTAGACTTGAAGAACTCGCATTTTTCTTGTCAGTCAAAGAACTTCCCCGGTTGAGATGCGTATTTGTGATTAGAGCAGGGGGCGCCCACGATAGGGGAAGTGGAGAAGGAGGCGGAGGACGCTTCCTAACATAATCCGGTTGTTGTGGTTGTGGGATTTTGAAGGAAAAATTCACCATGTTAATGCCGGCGGCTGCATATTCGGGATTTTTGGAGAGGTACCTTGAAAGAGGGTAAAATCAGATACTGGGATATGATATAACAACGGCAATGGTTTGTTTAAGATGGGATGGATACCTTTCAAGTTCGACCATAGAGCGAAGCCGCTTGCCCGTCGGCGAGACATAATACCTGCAAGAAGATTGATTAATTATAAGAAAATATCCACACTTTATTGTAACAATGATGGCAGGTAAATATTAAAGAATCGGATTCTTACACATCTGCAAACTTGGTTCCTCCTTCAGCTCTGATTCTTATGAGACGTTGCCATCCGGTAGGTGTTTTCGCAATACCAGGCCTGTCAATCGCCCAAAGTTGACTGCCATCTTGATTTATGTCGGCAGGAACCTCGCATGACATCCCAGGCTTCCACTCTCGACCATCTTCACAGACGAACGGCCGTTCCATGATGTTCTCCCGAATTTCTTCATACTTCTCCTTTGTCGGGATAAGTCTCCATTTGCAACAGTTTTCACATTGGACTGTGAAGGCACCCAATGATGGGATACCTCGAGGCCTCTTCTTCAGACGGTTGCTT